GAACACAACTGAATGTCACCAATTTGATCAGGATACATGTAGGAACACAACTGAATGTCACCAATTTGATCAGGATACATGTAGGAACATAACTGAATGTCACTTATTTGATCAGGATACATGTAGGAACATAACTGAATGTCACAAATTTGATCAGGATACATGTAGGAACAACTGAATGACACCAATTTGATCAGGATACATGTAGGAACAAAACTGAATGTCAGTATTTGATCAGGATACATGTAGGATCAACTGAATGTCACCAATTTGATCAGGATACATGTAGGAACACAACTGAATGTCACCAATTTGATCAGGATACATGTAGGAACAACTGAATGTCACCAATTTGATCAGGATACATGTAGGAACATAACTGAATGTCACCTATTTGATCAGGATACATGTAGGAACACAACTGAATGTCACCAATTTGATCAGGATACATGTAGGAACACAACTGAATGTCACCAATTTGATCAGAATACATGCAAGAACTGGATGTTACCAATTTGATCAGGATACATGTAGGAACAACTGAATGTCACCAATTTGATCAGGATACATGTAGGAACACAACTGAATGTCACCAATTTGATCAGGATACATGTAGGAACACAACTGAGTGTCACTTATTTGATTAGGATACATGTAGGAACACAACTGAATGTCACCAATTTGATCAGGATACATGTAGGAACAAAACTGAATGTCAGTATTTGATCAGGATACATGTAGGATTAACTGAATGTCACCAATTTGATCAGGATACATGTAGGAACATAACTGAATGTCACCTATTTGATCAGGATACATGTAGGAACAACTGAATGTCACCAATTTGATCAGGATACATGTAGGAACACAACTGAATGTCACCAATTTGATCAGGATACATGTAGGAACACAACTGAATGTCACCAATTTGATCAGGATACATGTAGGACACACATGTCACTGATTAGTGTAGGAACACAACTTATTTGATTAGGATACATGTAGGAACACAACTGAATGTCACCAATTTGAACAGGATACATGTAGGAACACAACTGAATGTCACCAATTTGATGCAAGAAGGATACATGTCAGGAACACAACTGAATGTCACCAATTTGATCAGGATACATGTAGGAACAATACATGTAGGAACACAACTGAATGTCACCAATTTGATCAGGATACATGTAGGAACACAACTGAATGTCACCAATTTGATCAGGATACATGTAGGAACACAACTGAATGTCACCAATTTGATCAGGATACATGTAGGAACACAACTGAATGTCACCAATTTGATCAGGATACATGTAGGAACACAACTGAATGTCACCAATTTGATCAGGATACATGTAGGAACACAACTGAATGTCACCAATTTGATCAGGATACATGTAGGAACACAACTGAATGTCACCAATTTGATCAGAATACATGCAAGAACTGGATGTTACCAACAGGATACATGTAGGAACACAACTGAATGTCACCAATTTGATCAGGATACATGTAGGAACATAACTGAATGTCACTTATTTCATCAGGATACATGTAGGAACACAACTGAATGTCACCAATTTGATCAGGATACATGTAGGAACGTAACTGAATGTCACCAATTTGATCAGAATACATGAACACAACTGAATGTCACCAATTTGATCAGGATACATGTAGGAACACAACTGAATGTCACCAATTTGATCAGGATACATGTAAGAACTGAATGTCACCAATTTGATCAGGATACATGTAGGAACGTGACTGAATGTAATAAATTTGATCAGGATACATGTAGGAACACAACTGGATGTCACTAATTTGATCAGGATACATGTAGGAACACAACTGAATGTGACCAATTTGATCAGGATACAAGTAGGAACACAAATGGATGTCACCAAGTTGATAAGGATACATGTAGGAACACAACTGAAGGATACATGTAGGAACACAACTGAATATGAACTTGACAATTGGATGTTGTCTACTAGTTTCCTCCAGTTACAATGTTTTTAAAATCCTTTTTTTATTACTGTATAACATGAAATGTTCTGTGTACTGTCTTTCATGGCTGGAAACATTTGGGAATAGAAGTTTTCCTGGTTTGGCCAGAAAACAACGGAAATTTCTACACAACAAACATTTCAGGTAATACAATAAATAGAGCAATGCACAAGTTCATCACAGCAGAAGATAAAGTGTGACCAGGGCCTGTTTAGCAATACACTCTGTAAGAGGAAATCAGCACACAACGGATGTGAGCTGTGAGAAATAACACCCACATACCAGGAATAGTAAGTGGCTAGTAAGTGGTTTCCTTCATATTTACTATATGACAACGTCAACACAATTGTTTTACAATGTTTAGCTTTATTACATGAGCATTTATATTTCTAACAATGAACAAAAGATTGGCAATAGTTTACAATCAAGCCTTGATGATTTCATTTCTTTTTGACACTAAGTCACTTTAAACTTCCCTTGAAATCAACCCTAATATGTTCTCTCCAACACATGGATCTCTCCTCTAGCCAGGTCTATATCATAATCACTATCCTCCCTAACCATGTCTATATCATAATCACTATCCTCCCTAACCATGTCTATATCATAATCACTGCCTAACCATGTCTATATCATAATCACTATCCTCCCTAACCATGTCTATATCATAATCACTATCCTCCCTAACCATGTCTATATCATAATCACTGCCTAACCATGTTTATATCATAATCACTATCCTCCCTAACCATGTCTATATCATAATCACTATTCTCTCTAACTATGTCTATATCATAATCACTATCCTCCCTAACCATGTCTATATCATAATCACTATTCTCTCTAACTATGTCTATATCATAATCACTGTCCTCCCTAACCATGTCTATATCATAATCACTATCCTCCCTAACCATGTCTATATCATAATCACTATCCTCCCTAACCATGTCTATATCTATATCACTATCCTCCCTAACCATGTCTATATCATAATCACTATCCTCCCTAACCATGTCTATATCATAATCACTATCCTCCCTAACCATGTCTATATCATAATCACTGTCCTCCCTAACCATGTCTATATCATAATCACTATCCTCCCTAACCATGTCTATATCATAATCACTATCCTCCCTAACCATGTCTATATCATAATCACTATCCTCCCTAACCATGTCTATATCATAATCACTGCCTAACCATGTCTATATCATAATCACTATCCTCCCTAACCATGTCTATATCAGTCACTATCCTCCCTAACCATGTCTATATCATAATCACTATCCTCCCTAACCATGTTTATATCATAATCACTGCCTAACCATGTCTATATCATAATCACTATCCTCCCTAACCATGTCTATATCATAATCACTATCCTCCCTAACCATGTCTATATCATAATCACTATCCTCCCTAACCATGTCTATATCATAATCACTGCCTAACCATGTCTATATCATAATCACTATCCTCCCTAACCATGTCTATATCATAATCACTATCCTCCCTAACCATGTCTATATCATAATCCTCCCTAACCATGTCTATATCATAATCACTATCCTCCCTAACCATGTCGATATCATAATCACTATCCTGCCTAACCATGTTTATATCATAATCACTGTATATATCATAATCACTATCCTCCCTAACCATGTCTATATCATAATCACTATCCTCCCTAACCATGTTTATATCATAATCACTGCCTAACCATGTCTATATCATAATCACTATCCTCCCTAACCATGTCTATATCATAATCACTGCCTAACCATGTCTATATCATAATCACTATCCTCCCTAACCATGTCTATATCATAATCACTATCCTCCCTAACCATGTCTATATCATAATCACTATCCTCCCTAACCATGTCTATATCATAATCACTATCCTCCCTAACCATGTCTATATCATAATCACTATCCTCCCTAACCATGTCTATATCATAATCACTGCCTAACCATGTCTATATCATAATCACTATCCTCCCTAACCATGTTTATATCATAATCACTGCCTAACCATGTCTATATCATAATCACTATCCTCCTAACCATGTCTATATCATAATCAACCATGTCTATATCATAATCACTATCCTCCCTAACCATGTCTATATCATAATCACTATATATCATGTCTATATCTCCCTAACCATGTCTATATCATAATCACTATCCTCCCTAACCATGTCTATATCATAATCACTGCCTAACCATGTCTATATCATAATCACTATCCTCCCTAACCATGTCTATATCATAATCACTATCCTCCCTAACTATGTCTATATCATAATCACTATCCTCCCTAACCATGTCTATATCATAATCACTATCCTCCCTAACCATGTCTATATCATAATCACTATCCTCCCTAACCATGTCTATATCATAATCACTATCCTCCCTAACCATGTCTATATCATAATCACTATCCTCCCTAACTATGTCTATATCATAATCACTATCCTCCCTAACCATGTCTATATCATAATCACTATCCTCCCTAACCATGTCTATATCATAATCACTATCCTCCCTAACCATGTCTATATCATAATCACTATCCTCCCTAACCATGTCTATATCATAATCACTATCCTCCCTAACCATGTCTATATCATAATCACTATCCTCCCTAACCATGTCTATATCATAATCACTATCCTCCCTAACCATGTCTATATCATAATCACTATCCTCCCTAACCATGTCTATATCATAATCACTATCCTCCCTAACCATGTCTATATCATAATCACTATCCTCCCTAATCATGTCTATATCATAATCACTATCCTCTCTAACCATGTCTATATCATAATCACTATCCTCCCTAATCATGTCTATATCATAATCACTATCCTCCCTGACCATGTCTATATCATAATCACTATCCTCCCTAACCATGTCTATATCATAATCACATCCTCCCTAAATGTCTATATCATAATCACTCCTCCCTAACCATGTCTATATCATAATCACTATCCTCCCTAACCATGTCTATATCATAATCACTATCCTCCCTAACCATGTCTATATCATAATCACTATCCTCCCTAACCATGTCTATATCATAATCACTGCCTAACCATGTCTATATCATAATCACTATCCTCCCTAACCATGTCTATATCATAATCACTATCCTCCCTAACCATGTCTATATCATAATCACTATCCTCCCTAACCATGTCTATATCATAATCACTATCCTCCCTAACCATGTCTATATCATAATCACTATCCTCCCTAACTATGTCTATATCATAATCACTATCCTCCCTAACCATGTCTATATCATAATCACTATCCTCCCTAACTATGTCTATATCAGTCACTATCCTCCCTAACTATGTCTATATCATAATCACTATCCTCCCTAACCATGTCTATATCATAATCACTCCCTAACCATGTCTATATCATAATCACTATCCTCCCTAACCATGTCTATATCATAATCACTATCCTCCCTAACCATGTCTATATCATAATCACTATCCTCCCTAACCATGTCTATATCATAATCACTATCCTCCCTAACCATGTCTATATCATAATCACTATCCTCCCTAACCATGTTTATATCATAATCACTGCCTAACCATGTCTATATCATAATCACTATCCTCCCTAACCATGTCTATATCATAATCACTATCCTCCCTAACTATGTCTATATCATAATCACTATCCTCCCTAACTATGTCTATATCATAATCACTATCCTCCCTAACCATGTCTATATCAGTCACTATCCTCCCTAACCATGTCTGTATCATAATCACTATCCTCCCTAACCATGTCTATATCATAATCATTGTCCTCCCTGACCATGTTTATATCTCAATCTATTTTTCACTTTCCCACTAAAACTATGTTCATGTACTGCTGAAAATCCCATGTTAAAACATAAATGATCTCCCATCCATAATGAAAAATTATGCGTCATTCAAAGCTTTTGAAGTCTGACATCAGGAAGTTGCTGCTCCGATCTGGTCCACCAGTCCACTGCCTTCCACACCATTGTAGAAAAAGAAGTTGTTGTGAGGTTTATCTTTGTGTGAGACAGCCTGAAATCAAACCAGAAAAAGGACTAGTGACTGCTGGGATTTATCATTAATCTTTGTGTGAGACAACCTGAAATCAAAACCAGAAAAGGACTAGTGACTGCTGGGATTTATCATTAATCTTTGTGTGAGACAACCTGAAATCAAAACCAGAAAAGGACTAGTGACTGCTGGGATTTATCATTAATCTTTGTGTGAGACAACCTGAAATCAAAACCAGAAAAGGACTAGTGACTGCTGGGATTTATCATTAATCTTTGTGTGAGACAACCTGAAATCAAAACCAGAAAAGGACTAGTGACTGCTGGGATTTATCATTAATCTTTGTGTGAGACAACCTGAAATCAAAACCAGAAAAGGACTAGTGACTGCTGGGATTTATCATTAATCTTTGTGTGAGACAACCTGAAATCAAAACCAGAAAAGGACTAGTGACTGCTGGGATTTATCATTAATCTTTGTGTGAGACAACCTGAAATCAAAACCAGAAAAGGACTAGTGACTGCTGGGATTTATCATTAATCTTTGTGTGAGACAACCTGAAATCAAAACCAGAAAAAGGACTAGTGACTGCTGGGATTTTTCCATTACAATCTTTATCCTGATTTCACTCCAATGTTCACATGTAAAAGGAAACTGAATAAAAATGACAGTGTATAGCATACCTTGATGATTTCCTGTCCAAGGATTCCCCCAACCACAGCGCAGACTGGACTGAGCTCAGAAAAACAGTGGCTGTCAAAACAACATTAACATATAAACCAATAAATTTTAGTGTTTTCACAATAAAGGTTTTATGAAATTTGATTGTTGGGATGCAGTTTCTGCATGTCATTTATTAGCAATAATTACAAACATGCAAATTTGATTTTCAAAATAAAGCATGTGCTAACATTTGATGGTGCAAAAATAAGTATATTCAGAGTAGATATAAATACACTTTCCTACAGTGTCACTGTTTGCAATATAACTGTATAAATGCTAACAGTAGCCTTCATGTTTGCTTCCTGAACTAAGACATCAACCTAAGCATGTACAGGTACCTAATATTCGTATATACAGTTGATGAAATTATAATAAAGGGACAATTAAGTCACAGGTAAAATTTTGGAAATTCACCAGGTATAGAAAACAATGGTCTCATGAAAATGAACACAGCTGATAAAGGAATAACTTTGGAAATTGTTTTAAATTCCAAAGATACTATGTAGATGCACAACACCAGTGCTGACAAATCCGACAGTCAAATCCACATGTTGATATTGACTTTGCATGTATTTATTTTATCATTTACTACATACAATTACTGAAACATATAAAATCAAAGTTATACTTCAAGTAAATGATACATAAAGTGAGATTTCCTAGAGTACACCACTCAATTCCATCAAAATGATGAGGTGTTCCATGAATTATTTCTAAACAGAGACTTATGTACAACCCTACAGTTAGGGAATTCTTGATTAGGCACTAAAATCTTTTGTTTCTGTCAATATTTCATAATAATTTGTATTAAAGTATAACACTTTCTTAACTTTGTGACCTTGGTTGAGATAAAATTTTTAAAACCATTTATTTACTTTGTGTTTGTCTTGACCATCACTGTAATTACTACAAGGTACCCACAACTTTGATGTCTGGCACTAATAACTCCCATTAAAAATTACCCTGTTGTACCAAATGGAGCTCTAGGTATCATTTTCGTTTTAATTTTCAGTGACAGGAAACATTAATGTGTGATACAATGTAACTGTAGAGCATAAGAAACTACTGTTACCTTGTGAAATCCTCTGGTACTGTTTTTGTTCCAACTTTCAGATCCTCCATTGTTTCAGATCTCAAAGCTGTCAGTTTTTCCACATCATGATCATGTGATTTCACAGCAGGTCGTCTTCCAAACTTCTCCATGAATCTGAAAAAAACTAAAAAACAAAGTGGTATTACAAAATACCATCATCCTAAAATAGTAATAATACTCAAAATTAAAACACTGACAGGTCATCAAGGAACCCACCATATGGCTATACATATCCCCATAATCATCAAAAAAACATCTGGCCATGTCACTGATGTTGATATCAGACACTCAGATTTCAAAATATATTGCAAGGAAGCCAAGCATACATTATACATGTACTGTAATGTGCTTTAACCTTTGGTTTGTTGACCTCTTGTTTCATTATGATCCATTTTGACCTTGACCTTTGGACTCAAAGGTTAAGTCCCATGACCTTGACATTTGGTAAGTTGACTTGTTTAATTCTGACTAGCTTTTCTTCATCATGTCATAAACAAAATGTTCATTAGTGAAAAGCTACAAAAGATTACCCAGTTACCACGACCTCTTTGACCTACTGACATTGACCTCTAGTCTGTTGAATCCTTGTCTAATTCTGACCAATTTTGCTTCAAAATGTAGCACCAGAATGATCATCAGTGAAAAAGATACAAAATTTGATATTTGGAATTAAAGACATTGATATTTTGCTTTTTGGTTATATTTGTCACACAAACTTGTTTAGGTAGTGGTTATATACGAACTGTCACAGAAACATGTTTAGGTAATGGTTATATACTGACTGTCACACAAACATGTTTAGGTAGTGGTTATATACTGACTGTCACACAAACATGTTTAGGTAGTGGTTATATACTGACTGTCACAGAAACTTGTTAAGGTGTCACACAAACATGTTTAGGTAGTGGTTATATACTGACTGTCATAGAAACATGTTTAGGTAGTGTTATATACTGACTGTCACACAAACATGTTTAGGTAGTGGTTATATACTGACTGTCACACAAACATGTTTAGGTAGTGGTTATATACTGACTGTCACACAAACATGTTACACAAACATGTTTAGGTAGTGGTTATATACTGACTGTCACACAAACATGTTTAGGTAGTGGTTATATACTGACTGTCACACAAACATGTTTAGGTAGTGGTTATATACTGACTGTCACACAAACATGTTTAGGTAGTGGTTATATACCAACACCCTGTCACAGAAACATGTTTAGGTAGTGGTTATATACTGACTGTCACACAAACATGTTTAGGTAGTGGTTATATACTGACTATCACAGAAACATTTTTAGGTAGTGGTTATATACTGACTGTCACACAAACATGTTTAGGTAGTGGTTATATACTGACTGTCACACAAACATGTTTAGGTAGTGGTTATATACTGACTGTCACACAAACATGTTTAGGTAGTGGTTATATACTGACTGTCACACAAACATGTTTAGGTAGTGGTTATATACTGACTGTCATAGAAACATGTTTAGGTAGTGGTTATATACTGACTGTCACACAAACATGTTTAGGTAGTGGTTATATACCAACACCCTGTCACACAAACATGTTTAGGTAGTGGTTACATACTGACTGTCACAGAAACTTATCTACATAGTGGTTATATACTGACTGTCACAGAAACATGTTTAGGTAGTGGTTATATACTGACTGTCACACAAACATGTTTAGGTAGTGGTTATATACACTGTCACACAAACTGTACACTGTCAGAAACAGTGGTTATATAACTGTCACACAAACATGTTTAGGTAGTGGTTATATACTGACTGTCACACAAACATGTTTAGGTAGTGTTTATATACTGACTGTCACACAAACATGTTTAGGTAGTGGTTATATACTGACTGACTGTCACAATACTGACTGTTTAGAAACATGTAGGTAGGTTATATACTGACTGTCACAGTTAAACATGTTTAGGTAGTGGTTATATACTGACTGTCACACAAACATGTTTAGGTAGTGGTTACATACTGACTGTCACACAAACTTGTTTAGGTAGTGGTTATATACGAACTGTCACAGAAACTTGTTTAGGTAGTGGTTATATACTGACTGTCACAGAAACATGTTTAGGTAGTGGTTATATACTGACTGTCATAGAAACATGTTTAGGTAGTGGTTATATACTGACTGTCACAGAAACATGTTTAGGTAGTGGTTATATACTGACTGTCACACAAACATGTTTAGGTAGTGGTTATATACTGACTGTCACACAAACATGTTTAGGTAGTGGTTATATACTGACTGTCACAGAAACTTGTTTAGGTAGTGGTTATATACTGACTGTCACAGAAACTGTCATAGAAACATGTTTAGGTAGTGGTTATATACTGACTGTCACACAAACATGTTTAGGTAGTGGTTATATACTGACTGTCACACAAACATGTTTAGGTAGTGGTTATATACTGACTGTCACACAAACATGTTTAGGTAGTGGTTATATACTGACTGTCACACAAACATGTTTAGGTAGTGGTTATATACTGACTGTCACACAAACATGTTTAGGTAGTGGTTATATACTACATGTTTAGGTAGTGTTATATAGACTGTCACACAAACATGTTTAGGTAGTGGTTATATACTGACTGTCACACAAACATGTTTAGGTAGTGGTTATATACTGACTTTCTTAGACACTTGTTTAGGTAGTTGTTATATACTGACTGTCATAGAAACATGTTTAGGTAGTGGTTATATACTGACTGTCAAACAAACAGTGTTATAAGGTAGTGGTTATATACTGACTGTCACACAAACATGTTTAGGTAGTGGTTACATACTGACTGTCACACAAACATGTTTAGGTAGTGGTTATATACTGACTGTCACACAAACATGTTTAGGTAGTGGTTATATACTGACTGTCACACAAACATGTTTAGGTAGTGGTTATATACCAACACCCTGTCACAGAAACATGTTTAGGTAGTGGTTATATACTGACTGTCACACAAACATGTTTAGGTAGTGGTTATATACTGACTGTCACACAAACATGTTTAGGTAGTGGTTATATACTGACTGTCACACAAACATGTTTAGGTAGTGGTTATATACTGACTGTCACAGAAACATGTTTAGGTAGTGGTTATATACTGACTGTCACAGAAACATGTTTAGGTAGTGGTTACATACTGACTGTCACACAAACTTGTTTAGGTAGTGGTTATATACGAACTGTCACAGAAACATGTTTAGGTAGTGGTTATATACTGACTGTCATAGAAACATGTTTAGGTAGTGGTTATATACTGACTGTCACACAAACATGTTTAGGTAGTGGTTATATACTGACTGTCACAGAAACATGTTTAGGTAGTGGTTATATACTGACTGTCACACAAACATGTTTAGGTAGTGGTTATATACTGACTGTCACACAAACATGTTTAGGTAGTGGTTATATACTGACTGTCACACAAACATGTTTAGGTAGTGGTTACATACTGACTGTCACACAAACATGTTTAGGCAGTGGTTACATACTGACTGTCACACAAACATGTTTAGGTTATATAGACTGTCACACAAACGTGTTATATACTGACTGTCACACAAACATGTTTAGGTAGTGGTTATATACTGACTGTCACACAAACATGTTTAGGTAGTGGTTATATACTGACTGTCACACAAACATGTTTAGGTAGTGGTTATATACTGACTGTCACAGAAACATGTTTAGGTAGTGGTTATATACTGACTGTCACAGAAACATGTTTAGGTAGTGGTTATATACTGACTGTCACACAAACATGTTTAGGTAGTGGTTATATACTGACTGTCACACAAACATGTTTAGGTAGTGGTTATATACGAACTGTCACAGAAACATGTTTAGGTAGTGGTTATATACTGACTGTCATAGAAACATGTTTAGGTAGTGGTTATATACTGACTGTCACACAAACATGTTTAGGTAGTGGTTATATACTGACTGTCACACAAACATGTTTAGGTAGTGGTTATATACTGACTGTCACAGAAACATGTTTAGGTAGTGGTTATATTATATACTGTTATATCACAGAAACATGTTTAGGTAGTGGTTATATACTGACTGTCACACAAACATGTTTAGGTAGTGGTTATATACTGACTGTCACACAAACATGTTTAGGTAGTGGTTATATACTGTCACAGAAACTTGTTTAGGTACTGACTGTCACAGAAACTTGTTTAGGTAGTGGTTATATACTGACTGTCATAGAAACATGTTTAGGTAGTGGTTATATACTGACTGTCACAGAAACATGTTTAGGTAGTGGTTATATACTGACTGTCACACAAACATGTTTAGGTAGTGGTTATATACTGACTGTCACACAAACATGTTTAGGTAGTGGTTATATACTGTGAAACATGTTTAGGTAGTGGTTATATACTGACTGTCACACAAACATGTTTAGGTAGTGGTTATATACTGTCACAGAAACATGTTTAGGTAGTGGTTATATACTGACTGTCATAGAAACATGTTTAGGTAGTGGTTATATACTGACTATCACAGAAACATGTTTAGGTAGTGGTTATATACTGACTGTCACACAAACATGTTTAGGTAGTGGTTATATACTGACTGTCACACAAACATGTTTAGGTAGTGGTTATATACTGACTGTCACACAAACATGTTTAGGTAGTGGTTATATACTGACTATCACAGAAACATGTTTAGGTAGTGGTTATATACTGACTGTCATAGAAACATGTTTAGGTAGTGGTTATATACCAACACCCTGTCACACAAACATGTTTAGGTAGTGGTTACATACTGACTGTCACAGAAACTTATCTACATAGTGGTTATATACTGACTGTCACAGAAACATGTTTAGGTAGTGGTTATATACTGACTGTCATAGAAACATGTTTAGGTAGTGGTTATATACTGACTGTCACACAAACATGTTTAGGTAGTGTTTATATACTGACTGTCACACAAACATGTTTAGGTAGTGGTTATATACTGACTATCATAGAAACATGTTTAGGTAGTGGTTACATACTGACTGTCATAGAAACATGTTTAGGTAGTGGTTATATACTGACTGTCACACAAACATGTTTAGGTAGTGGTTATATACTGACTGTCACACAAACATGTTTAGGTAGTGGTTATATACTGACTGTCACACAAACATGTTTAGGTAGTGGTTATATACTGACTGTCACAGAAACATGTTTAGGTAGTGGTTATATACTGACTGTCATAGAAACATGTTTAGGTAGTGGTTATATACTGACTGTCACAGAAACATGTTTAGGTAGTGGTTATATACTGACTGTCACACAAACATGTTTAGGTAGTGGTTATATACCAACACCCTGTCACACAAACATGTTTAGGTAGTGGTTATATACTGACTGTCATAGAAACATGTTTAGGTAGTGTTATATACTGACTGTCACACAAACATGTTTAGGTAGTGGTTATATACTGACTGTCATAGAAACATGTTTAGGTAGTGGTTATATACTGACTGTCACAGAAACATGTTTAGGTAGTGGTTATATACTGACTGTCACACAAACATGTTTAGGTAGTGGTTACATACTGACTGTCACACAAACTTGTTTAGGTAGTGGTTATATACGAACTGTCACAGAAACATGTTTAGGTAGTGGTTATATACTGACTGTCATAGAAACATGTTTAGGTAGTGGTTATATACTGACTGTCACAGAAACATGTTTAGGTAGTGGTTATATACTGACTGTCACAGAAACATGTTTAGGTAGTGGTTATATACTGACTGTCACACAAACATGTTTGGGTAGTGGTTACATACTGACTGTCACACAAACTTGTTTAGGTAGTGGTTATATACTGTCACAGAAACTTGTTTAGGTAGTGGTTATATACTGACTGTCACACAAACTTGTTTAGGTAGTGGTTATATACTGACTGTCACAGAAACATGTTTAGGTAGTGGTTATATACTGACTGTCACACAAACATGTTTAGGTAGTGGTTATATACTGACTGTCATAGAAACATGTTTAGGTAGTGGTTATATACTGACTGTCATAGAAACATGTTTAGGTAGTGGTTATATACTGACTGTCACACAAACATGTTTAGGTAGTGGTTACATACTGACTGTCACAGAAACTTGTTTAGGTAGTGGTTATATACTGACTGTCATAGAAACATGTTTAGGTAGTGTTATATACTGACTGTCACAGAAACATGTTTAGGTAGTGGTTATATACTGACTGTCACACAAACATGTTTAGGTATGGTTATATAGGTAGTGGTTATATAAGAAACATGTTTAGGTAGTGGTTATATATATGGTTATATACACTGTCACACAAACATGTTTAGGTAGTGGTTATATACTGACTGTCACACAAACATGTTTAGGTAGTGGTTATATATAACACAATGAATAGTTGTTGTTATATAATACTTTCTTTTTTTGAGTTATAACTTTTTAAACAGGACAATGAACAGGAGTATATGCCAGTGTTTTTTTTTGTAAACTCAAGTCTAAGAAATGCCATATATATAACCACAAGTTTGAGTGACCTATTTCTACCACAATTAAGAAGAGGCCTAAACCCTCACCTGATCAGGTATTTATTGCGCTACACCTAAAGCAAGATACATAACATGTAGATATTTGGAGTTCTGTATAATCAACCTTATGAATTATTTCAGATTTTTTTTTTCTAAAATAGAGAAATGCAAATACTTATGGTCAATTAATCCTTTAATTCCTGCCTACATTTGTTGGCTTAACACAATATTAAATATTTTTGTATGGCTTGTATTTAAACAAAACATATGCCAAAGGTCAATACATAAGTTACCAAAGGTCATAGGTCAAATTACCATCAATATCAATTAATATTTTACATTTTTACATATTTTCACATCATATTACAATATCAAGTTACGCCGAAGATCAATATATAGGTTAGCAAAAGTCACATTTAAAACAAGTCATCTATATCAATCAATACTGTATACTTTTCATACACACATGTTGTAATGTAAAGTTATGCTTAATGGTCAATACTTAGGTCACCAGAGGTCACATGTTAGATAAGTGATCAATTTCTATATACAGTCTAACCTGTATTAAACGGCCACTGTTGGGAAATTATTAAAGTGGCCTTTATAGAGAGGTGGCCTCTTTAGTGAGGTTCCTTATTTTCGAACCAAAGTTGCGGCAATTTGTACATTGATATTTGAAAACAGTTTAATAATAAGATATAAAACATCACCTGTAATTATTTATCATCTTGTTTGCAAGTAATTTGAAGACAGACCAATCTTTATATTATGACACAATTATAAATACAAAAGAACAAAATTGAAAGGAAGGCATGAACAATTTTTAATGAAGCTATTGAAAAAAAGCGGATGTCCGATTGTTTCGAACGGCTGTCAATACATTCATTTGCTATCAGATCGTCAATCTCCATAAGACAAGACAGAAATGTGTCATTTTTTAAGTCCTCGACAAATTTTAACGCCCTCTCTTTGATCATGGGTCCGGTCACATTCACTCTCCAAGTGACCACCTCCTGGAACCACTTCACATTTATATTTTCATTTCCTTATTTATGTCTTTTCTATGTCCTCTAAAATTTCGGCTTTTCTTTTTAACATTTGGAGAACTTGCGTCCTGCCAACACCGAGGTCTTTAGCAACGGCCCGTGCACTTTTTCCAGTCTCAAGCATCGAAAGTGCATTGTAGTGTTCTTCAAGAGTTAAAGTTTTTCGTTTGCTGTTCATATTGGGAAGGGATTTGCCACAATAGTGATAATATGCCTGTATTGTGTATACCATTGATGTATATGAAATTAAACTCAATATAAAACGCATGGTGAATTGTGTTTACATGCCATCAGCTGTTTTCTTGTAGGAATGTTCATGTGGCGAGAAAACGTGACTCGCAGTCAAGAAAGCTTGTCAAATGACTTGTGGTCAAAACGGCCGTTTAAATGAAGTTTGATCGCAAGTTTGGGGATGAAAAGGGTGGCAGCGTTAGAAAGGTGGCCGTTAAATTAGGTATCATTAATCAGCAAAAACGATTGGGAGGGTCTGAAAATGGCCGTTATAAGCAGGTGGCCGTCTAACTAAGGTGGCTGTTATGACAGGTTAGACTGTATAATCAATATTTAATACTACTGCTATTGTTTGATTGATGATATTATTCATTATCTTTTAATGCCAATGAACAATTTTAATTAAGTTATATGTTTCCAGTTAAACTGACAAAATAAAATAGTGACCAGACTGGTTAGTTTTTGGTGGAAAGTAACATATCAGGTATATCCAGAAAAGTTAATAATTAAAATGAATTTTCCCTTATGTGGCCCCTCACACATATTCTAATGACTCAATATTATCAACAGTATTTCCCTTGGTATGGAACCTTACAGCAAATTTTAGCTGTCGCCTACACAGGTTTAATAGTTTAATAAAGAGACAGATATTACAACTGAATTAATTAACATTCATTCATTCATTGAAATGGTTCCAATTTATTTATCACTTCACCTCTGTAATGTGTGCATACTGTCGATAAATCCATAATAAATGATTTTTCAGTCTCAAGTTATCTTGTCAACAATCTGATATTGGTCAGTAAATTGCTCTGGTGACCATAGTGAAATCAACAACATAAGTATAAGATCATAAACTGATCATCCCTACAAATATTCATCAATATCATTCAAACTGCGTTTTAATTTCTGCAAGTGTATGGAGAGCAATTTTGGTTAAAATTCAACCAAAAGACCAGAAAGTCACATTCCACTAGTGGTATATCATCATATATTCATTTGATTGTCAGCACATTTACACAATGGAATAACACAGCATATTGTGATACAAGTGGTAGTTAATAGTTATTCCACTAGTCGTATATCATCATATATTCATTTGATTGTCAGCACATTTACACAATGGAATAACACAGCATATTGTGATACAAATGTAAATAATTACCTTTTTCACTACAACTGTTTCTGGCTCCTCAGATTTACTTTTCTTAGCAGCTGGCTCACCATCCCCACCCTCTTCCTTCTTTGCTGGCTTCTTAGGGATTTCCCTGTGATATCATTTTATGAAATAGAGCCACAAAACAAACAAATTTACACAACAGTCTCTCTCATACTCTGTATTAGATAACGTGTCTACAACAGTCTCTCTCATACTCTGTATTAGATAATGTGTCTACAACAGTCTCTCTCATACTCTGTATTAGATAATGTGTCTACAACAGTCTCTCTCATACTCTGTATTAGATAACGTGTCTACAACAGTCTCTCTCATACTCTGTATTAGATAACGTGTCTACAACAGTCTCTCTCATACTCTGTATTAGATAATGTGTCTACAACAGTCTCTCTCATACTCTGTATTAGATAATGTGTCTACAACAGTCTCTCTCATACTCTGTATTAGATAACGTGTCTACAACAGTCTCTCTCATACTCTGTATTAGATAACGTGTCTACAACAGTCTCTCTCATACTCTGTATTAGATAACGTGTCTACAACAGTCTCTCATATTCTATATTAGATAACGTGTCTACAACAGTCTCTCTCATACTCTGTATTAGATAACGAGTCTACAACAGTCTCTCTCATACTCTGTATTAGATAACGTGTCTACAACAGTCTCTCTCATACTCTGTATTAGATAACGTGTCTACAACAGTCTCTCTCATACTCTGTATTAGATAACGAGTCTACAACAGTCTCTCTCATACTCTGTATTAGATAATGTGTCTACAACAGTCTCTCTCATACTCTGTATTAGATAACGTGTCTACAACAGTCTCTCTCATACTCTGTATTAGATAACGTGTCTACAACAGTCTCTCTCATACTCTGTATTAGATAACGAGTCTACAACAGTCTCTCTCATACTCTGTATTAGATAACGTGTCTACAACAGTCTCTCTCATACTCTGTATTAGATAACGTGTCTACAACAGTCTCTCTCATACTCTGTATTAGATAACGTGTCTACAACAGTCTCTCTCATACTCTGTATTAGATAATGTGTCTACAACTGTCTCTCTCATACTGTGTATTAGATAACGTGTCTACAACAGTCTCTCTCATACTCTGTATTAGATAACGTGTCTACAACAGTCTCTCATATTCTATATTAGATAACGTGTCTACAACAGTCTCTCTCATACTCTGTATTAGATAACGTGTCTACAACAGTCTCTCTCATACTCTGTATTAGATAACGTGTCTACAACAGTCTCTCTCATACTCTGTATTAGATAATGTGTCTACAACTGTCTCTCTCATACTCTGTATTAGATAACGTGTCTACAACAGTCTCTCTCTCTCTGTATTAGATAACGTGTCTACAACAGTCTCTCATATTCTATATTAGATAACGTGTCTACAACAGTCTCTCTCATACTCTGTATTAGATAACGTGTCTACAACAGTCTCTCTCATACTCTGTATTAGATAACGAGTCTACAACAGTCTCTCTCATACTCTGTATTAGATAACGAGTCTACAACAGTCTCTCTCATACTCTGTATTAGATAACGAGACTACAACAGTCTCTCTCATACTCTGTATTAGATAACGAGTCTACAACAGTCTCTCTCATACTCTGTATTAGATAACGAGTCTACAACAGTCTCTCTCATACTCTGTATTAGATAACGAGTCTACAACAGTCTCTCTCATACTCTGTATTAGATAACGTGTCTACAACAGTCTCTCTCATACTCTGTATTAGATAACGTGTCTACAACAGTCTCTCATATTCTATATTAGATCTACAACAGTCTCTCTCATACTCTGTATTAGATAACGAGTCTACAACAGTCTCTCTCATACTCTGTATTAGATAACGTGTCTACAACAGTCTCTCTCATACTCTGTATTAGATAACGTGTCTACAACAGTCTCTCATACTCTGTATTAGATAATGTGTCTACAACAGTCTCTCTCATACTCTGTATTAGATAACGTGTCTACAACAGTCTCTCTCATACTCTGTATTAGATAACGTGTCTACAACAGTCTCTCATATTCTATATTAGATAACGTGTCTACAACAGTCTCTCTCATACTCTGTATTAGATAACGTGTCTACAACAGTCTCTCTCATACTCTGTATTAGATAACGAGTCTACAACAGTCTCTCTCATACTCTGTATTAGATAACGAGACTACAACAGTCTCTCTCATACTCTGTATTAGATAACGTGTCTACAACAGTCTCTCTCATACTCTGTATTAGATAACGTGTCTACAACAGTCTCTCTCATACTCTGTATTAGATAATGAGTCTACAACAGTCTCTCTCATACTCTGTATTAGATAATGTGTCTACAACTGTCTCTCTCATACTCTGTATTAGATAACGTGTCTACAACAGTCTCTCTCATACTCTGTATTAGATAACGTGTCTACAACAGTCTCTCTCATACTCTGTATTAGATAATGTGTCTACAACAGTCTCTCTCATACTCTGTATTAGATAATGTGTCTACAACTGTCTCTCTCATACTCTGTATTAGATAACGAGTCTACAACTGTCTCTCTCATACTCTGTATTAGATAATGTGTCTACAACAGTCTCTCTCATACTCTGTATTAGATAACGAGTCTACAACAGTCTCTCTCATACTCTGTATTAGATAACGTGTCTACAACAGTCTCTCTCATACTCTGTATTAGATAACGAGTCTACAACAGTCTCTCATACTCTGTATTAGATAACGTGTCTACAACAGTCTCTCATACTCTGTATTAGATAATGAGTCTACAACAGTCTCTCTCATACTCTGTATTAGATAACGTGTCTACAACAGTCTCTCTCATACTCTGTATTAGATAACGAGTCTACAACAGTCTCTCTCATACTCTGTATTAGATAACGTGTCTACAACAGTCTCTCTCATACTCTGTATTAGATAACGTGTCTACAACAGTCTCTCTCATACTCTGTATTAGATAACGTGTCTACAACAGTCTCTCTCATACTCTGTATTAGATAATGAGTCTACAACAGTCTCTCTCATACTCTGTATTAGATAACGAGTCTACAACAGTCTCTCTCATACTCTGTATTAGATAACGTGTCTACAACAGTCTCTCTCATACTCTGTATTAGATAACGTGTCTACAACAGTCTCTCTCATACTCTGTATTAGATAACGTGTCTACAACAGTCTCTCTCATACTCTGTATTAGATAATGTGTCTACAACAGTCTCTCTCATATTCTATATTAGATAACGAGTCTACAGCTGTCTCTCTCATACTCTGTATTAGATAATGTGTCTACAACAGTCCCTCATACTCTGTATTAGATAACGAGTCTACAACAGTCCCTCATACTCTGTATTAGATAACGCGTCTACAGCTGTCTCTCTCATATTCTATATTAGATAACGAGTCTACAGCTGTCTCTCTCATACTCTGTATTAGATAATGTGTCTACAACAGTCTCTCTCATACTCTGTATTAGATAATGTGTCTACAGCTGTCTCTCTCATACTCTGTATTAGATAATGTGTCTACAACAGTCTCTCTCATACTCTGTATTAGATAATGTGTCTACAACAGTCTCTCTCATACTCTGTATTAGATAATGAGTCTACAACTGTCTCTAATTTTGTATCAATTAACTTACTCTGCATATTCATGATCACCAAGGTCCGAGAACATGTAGCCATAGTAACCAAATACATCTCCTGCATAGAACTTAATTCCATTGTCAGCACAAATTTTGTTGATGCGTTCAAGTTGGGAGGGACCACAACACGTAGCACACACCACATCAAACTGAGTGAAGAAGTCACTATCTTTGTCAGCAACTCTTCCTGAGTCAGCGGTCACTGTAACCATTGGGTTGAGCTGCTGGGTTCGCTCCAGTGAACAAACAGCCCTCTGGAGTAAAGGAAGAACAAAACTTGTGAATTCACTCTCAAATTACTACATTCTCTCTACCAATGGTAAAGCATTTATTTTGGTGACATTGTGTGTGATGTGCTACTGTAGAACACAAATGAATTTTTGTGAATAAGTATCATGTGTATGAAACAATTTTATAAAGAAGGTAATTACTTGTGCTTTGTTAGTTTATCTTTATGTTGTGATTATGTGTCTATGTGTGTTGTCTGTGTCTCCATGTTTTTTTGTCTTTCTGTGTGGTATGTGTTTCTCTGTGTCATGTGCATATATCTCTGACTACATGCATTGTCTGTGTCAATGTCCTGTGTCTGTGCCTCTGTGCTGTGTCTGTGTCTAAGTACTAATGTCTGTGTCTACATATTGTGCTTGTGTCTATGTGTTGTGTCTGTATCTATGTATTGTGTCTGTGTGTATGTTTTGTGTCTGTAACTACCCAGCATATGTTGTGTCATGTCTATGTGTTTTGTCTGATGTATGTGTCTTTGTGTAATGTCTGTGTGTACGTGTAATGTCTATATTAACATATTGTGTCTGTGTTGGGAGCATCTATTTTGTGTTAATACATATATACATTGTGTTATTCTCTTAAATTTCTGCAACATGATGCTTTATTAGCTCTATGTACAATTGATTTGTTTGCTCACAATTATAAACTCATTCACTAAGTGAAAAGTACTTACATTTTTACCAACATCTGACCTGGGCAGCAGGAACTGTGAGCAGGAATCTTCTTCTGTTACCTAAGTTAATAGAAGAAAGAAGAAATATACATTTCTGTATATAACATAATCATGCAGTGTAATTTGTACCTACAGTTCTGGTAATTGTAAGTATGTATCAGATGCAGTTCTTTAATAGTCTTTCTCTCATGTTAGAAAGATAATTTGGTTTGAAGTGGACAGCAATTTGCTACAAATCCATGTACATTAAACTTTCCAAAAGATAGACAGCTTTTGAAAATTATCAAACTTTGAGACAATGAAAGAACATCACTTATAAATATTAATAAATCTAATGATAAAGTTTTAAAATATATGTATAATAATGTTCCAATTGATCAACTCCATCAGTAAATATTCATCAATATCTAGAGAAACACACAGGGTTTTGTATAAATGAAACATAATTGTGAAAAACAACACACTAAAAAATGTAACATAAAAAAACAGACAAACAATACAATTTTCATTCAACTATCTTTTACATCAAGAAACATCTTTGCTAAGCATGGGGAGGTAATTCTAAGTTGGCAATAGATAAGTTCATAATGGATTGGGCAACTTTCACATGCTGAATAAAATTCATCTAAATTATTGCATATGATCAATTATTGATTAATATTTGACAGTTTTAGTGAAACCAAAGATCAATCATGTTTTTATTATAACCAATATTCCAATCACCAACTGTTAAAGAATATTTACCTCTGTGTCATCCAGCATAGTAAGGGACTTGATTCCAGATAACACAATGTTCTTGGCTACTTCTGCACCTAAACCTCGCATTCCTATCAAAAGCACTCTTGATGCACGCAACCTAATTAAAAGTTAAAATTTAATATTTACTCAAATAAACCAAAAAATCTTTTTCGTCAAACTTTCAGATAAATATGAACTTATCACAATATTCTTTTGTAATTTTTTTATTTATGAGAATAGTTCAATAATAGTAATATGCGCATCTGAAGGACAGCAAATCAAGTGCGTTTTTTATTTTAGCCATAGGCCACAATGTTTCTGTGAGTTGGTTATATTCCATTGATGCAGCTTTTGGTTCTAGTTTCCCTTGTTCCGATGGTGAGACAGGAAGTTTCCTTTTTCATCATCAAAACATCTCAACTTAACTACACAATTGACACTCATCGCATGTTATAACTTTTCTGCATGGAAACATCAAGCTGAAAGCTGCACACCTGTGGCTCACATCTGCATCAAAGGATGCTTATCTGCATACAGCAGAATGAACAATAAATGTCATATTAGATTGGTACATGATATGTGCTGTTCAGGGCTTGAGGGAAATTTCATAAAATTACACACACATACAATCTGCTTTAAACATAACTTTCACCAGAACAAACCAGATAAAAATTCCCACTTTATTTGCAGAACTTGCGACTATTTTTGGTGTATCGTAATCATTGTTCCGTAGCGATAAATAATAATATAGCCATCTAGGTTACTTTTAAGTTATACCTTCTTTGGGCGTCAAGGCCCCAAAGTCGAATTTGGCGATCATAAAGCGCAGCCTCATCTTCTGTAATTGTTTGTTGTTCTCCCATAACACAATTTTTAGTGACAAAATGAAACAAGACTTCAGCTTGCACCTTCCAAATCTGCCGGGCACGAAACAGTAACACCTTATTTGATTGGATGAAATACTTCCACTTTGTCCAATCGATGTCATGTACACAGTTTCTCGATGTGGCCATGGGTGATTTTTTTGCTCATTAGATTACCCCATTATAAAGGTTTTAATTAAAAATGAAAAAAAATCCTTGCTAAAATTGGTCCTGTCATGTGAAAGTGGACAATGTGGGGTTTCATTTTTTTCAGGATAATATTTTAGCTTTATGTTGGAGATTACTATTTGGGCAGTCTCGAATCTGTGTCTACGCACCAAAAACTAGCTTTACAGGAAGTGAAATTTTCATAGTGTTCACATGTGGTCATGTTATGAAGAATTTCCGAGTTGGAATTTGCTGAAATGTAAGTACTTTGTTACCATGACAGTGTTGTTTTCTTTTATATTTATTTTATTTTTGCATTTTTTCATTGTATGTACACAAAGAAGTTCACACACACACGCCCTTACATACATACATACATACATACATATGTCCAACATGTAACATCATACACATTATCATCACACACATCATCATTAAACATGTATCATCATACACATCATCATTAAACATGTACCATCATACACATCATCATTAAACATATATTCTCATACACATCATCATCATACACATCATCATTAACATGTATCGTCATACACATCATCATTAAACATGTATTATCATACACATCATCACCATACACATCACAATTAACGTGTATCATCATACATATCATCATCATACAACACATCACAATTAACATGTATCATCATACACATCATCCTCATACACATCATCATTAAACATGTATTATCATACACATCATCATTAAACATGTATTATCATACACATCATCACCATACACATCACAATTAACGTGTATCATCATACATATCATCATCATACAACACATCACAATTAACATGTATCATCATACATATCATCCTCATACACATCATCATTAAACATGCATGTGTTATCATATACATCATCATTAAACATGTATGTATTATTATACACATCATCCTCATACACATCATCATTAAACATGTATTATCATACACATCATCATTAAACATGTATTATCATACACATCATCACTTACATGTATTATCATACACATCATCCTAATACACATATATATCATCATTAGCATGCATCATCATACACATCATCACTAACATGCATCATCATCATCATCATCATCATCATCATCTACGGATTTGTCAAATTGTGAGTGTTCATCATATATCTAATGTACAGCATAAATAATCAACTTTTTTTATATTTATTTTATTTTTTGCATTTTTTCATTATATGTACACAAAGAAGTTCACACATACACGCCCTTACATACATACATACATATGTCCAACATGTATCATCATACACATTATCATCACACACATCATCATTAAACATGTATCATCATACACATCATCATCATACACATCATCATTAAACATGTACCATCATACACATCATCATTAAACATGTATCATCATACACATCATCATTAAACATGTACCATCATACACATCATCATTAAACATATATTCTCATACACATCATCATCATACACATCATCATTAACATGTACCATCATACACATCATCATTAAACATATATTCTCATACACATCATCATCATACACATCATCATTAACATGTATTATCATACACATCATCATCATACACATCACAATTAACGTGTATCATCATACATATCATCATCATACAACACATCACCATTAACATGTATCATCATACACATCATCCTCATACACATCATCATTAAACATGTATTATCATACACATCATCATTAAACATGCATGTATTATTATACACATCATCACCGTACACATCATCATTAAACATGCATGTATTATTATACACATCATCACCATACACATCACCATTAACATGTATCATCATACATAGATGACAGTGTTGTTGATTGTAAGATAGGTGTTTAGAATTAAATTTCTCCTAGAAAGTTGTAGTGTTGGGTTGGAATTAGCAGTATTTTTGCATTTTTAGCATTTTTTCAGTAGGTAACCATGACAATCAAATGTCAGAAATCAGAGGAAATTTTTTTTTTACACAAATTTCATCTCTCTACTGTTAATGTAATTGTTATATAGTTTATAAATATATATACATGTAATGATGTATTTTTCATAACCAATCTGCTATACCTGTATATCTCAAACATGACAAATAATTTCAGGAAAAATGCAAATTAACTGTTTACTGCTACCTTCTAGCACATTAAAAAAAAATATTTATTTAAAATGTGCTTTACTATGTTTGATTAAGTTTAATCCTTTCCATAATTGCTATAAATACATAAAAAAAACACACTGAAACTTGTTCATAATGATTTTATTTTAATTTCATTAGGGGTGCATAAAGGGAGGTAATTTGGGTGCTCTTGTGGGTGAGAATTTCAGCTGTTTTCAAAAGGCTTGGTGTCAGTTTGAAAACTGTTCTACAGTAGGTAACAGGTATAAAATAAGTCAGTAACAACCTTAGAATGTATTTAGACTGGATTATAGGGCAATTCCAATAGTTTAAGGTGTGGTATCCATGGTAACTAAGAAGGAAAGTATGAGTTTTTGAATTTTGGATAAATTCTCTGTTTTGATGATTTTTACTCAATAATGTGTGTGTATTTCTCATAGATTGGGCATACAATCATGTTAATATTGTCATCAAATGACATTTCCATAGTTACTGCTGTAAAAAATACTATTTTTCGAACAATATTGCAATGTCATAGGGTTTCTAATATTACACTTGAAGAAGGGTGGGGGGCAGTAATCATAGGTGTTTGTGATGTCATACACATGACATTTAAGAATATCTAATGTCATATCACTGTTAATTACTTTCGAGAAATGTGTTAGATGCTAATTTTAAGTTTTTGTTGGATTTCTAGCCTTCACTATGACATCACAGTGCATTGGTGAAGCCATCATTAGCAATTGATGACGTCATAGTACTGATGACATCAGCTGTTACCATGACGTCATAACATCAGACTTTATATATGTAGTATCAATCTGCTTTTCAGTTATCTAAATTCACAGAAGCACAAACTACTTGATTCAGTTTCAATTGCAACTTTATTCAATTAAATTTAAGACTTATTGAGGTTTTAATTTTTCAAATTACCTCCCTTTCTTCCATATTTGAGAGCAGAATTGGTCAAAACACACCATGCGGGAAAATCTATGTTACTCGATAGCTATTCGAGATACACAGTAAAGCGATATATCGTTTTGTTCGTGTGATCATTTTCTAGACACTCAGAGGAATTTTAATGAAATTAAAAAAACTAATTGTGATGTAAAGCACATTAAAAAAAATTATTTATTTAAAATGTGCTTTACTATGTTTGATTAAGTTTAATCCTTTCCATAATTGCTATAAATACATAAAAAACACACTGAAACTTGTTCATAATGATTTTATTTTAATTTCATCAGGGGTGCATAAAGGGAGGTAATTTGGGTGCTCTTGTGGGTGAGAATTTTAGCTGTTTTCAAAAGGCTTGGTGTCAGTTTGAAAACTGTTCTACAGTAGGTAACAGGTATAAAATAAGTCAGTAACAACCTTAGAATGTATTTAGACTGGATTATAGGGCAATTCCAATAGTTTAAGGTGTGGTATCCATGGTAACTAAGAAGGAAAGTATGAGTTTTTGAATTTTGGATAAATTCTCTGTTTTGATGATTTTTACTCAATAATGTGTGTGTATTTCTCATAGATTGGGCATACAATCATGTTAATATTGTCATAAAATTACATTTCCATAGTTACTGCTGTAAAAAATACTATTTTTCGAACAATATTGCAATGTCATAGGGTTTCTAATATTACACTTGAAGAAGGGTGGGGGGCAGTAATCATAGGTGTTTGTGATGTCATACACATGACATTTAAGAATATCTAATGTCATATCACTGTTAATTACTTACGAGAAATGTGTTAGATGCTAATTTTAAGTTTTTGTTGGATTTCTAGCCTTCACTATGACATCACAGTGCATTGGTGAAGCCATCATTAGCAATTGATGACGTCATAGTACTGATGACATCAGCTGTTACCATGACGTCATAACATCAGACTTTATATATGTAGTATCAATCTGCTTTTCAGTTATCTAAATTCACAGAAGCACAAACTACTTGATTCAGTTTCAATTGCAACTTTATTCAATTAAATTTAAGACTTATTGAGGTTTTAATTTTTCAAATTACCTCCCTTTCTTCCTAATTTGAGAGCAGAATTGGTCAAAACACACCATGCGGGAAAATCTATGTTACTCGATAGCTATTCGAGATACACAGTAAAGCGATATATCGTTTTGTTCGTGTGATCATTTTCTAGACACTCAGAGGAATTTTAATGAAATTAAAAAAACTAATTGTGATGTATAAATGGTAGCAGTACACAGTTTCTCGGTGTGGCCATGGGTGATTTTTTTGCTCATTAGATTACCCCATTATAAAGGTTTTAATTAAAAATGAAAAAAAAAATCCTTGCTAAAATTGGTCCTGTCATGTTAAAGTGGACAATGTGGGGTTTCATTTTTTTCAGGATAATATTTTAGCTTTGTGTTGGAGATTACTATTTGGGCAGTCTCGAATCTGTGTCTACGCACCAAAAACTAGCTTTACAGGAAGTGAAATTTTCATAGTGTTCACATGTGGTCATGTTATGAAGAATTTCCGAGTTGGAATTTGCTGAAATGTAAGTACTTTGTTACCATGACAGTGTTGTTGATTGTAAGATAGGTGTTTAGAATTAAATTTCTCCTAGAAAGTTGTAGTGTTGGGTTGGAATTAGCAGTATTTTTAGCATTTTTTCAGTAGGTAACCATGACAATCAATGTCAGAAATCAGAGGAATTTTTTTTTTACACAAATT